ATTTAAATCAGCGATAGTGAAACCTCTTCTGAAGAAATCAAATCTGATCCAGATGAACTCAAGAATTATCGCCCTGTATCCAACCTTACCTTCATGTCCAAGGTGATAGAGAGAGCAGTGGGAGACAGGTTATCTCAGCATCTGATGCATCATGACCTCTACGAGCCATATCAGTCGGCTTACCGTAAGGACCACAGTACTGAGACAGCTCTTGTCCGTGTGTTTAATGACTTGAGACTCAGTGTTGACAATAACATGACTTCTTTATTGGTCCTCCTCGACCTCAGCCAAGCATTAACACCATTGATCATAGCAGGCTTCTGTCTCGTCTCAGGAATAACTTTGGTATTGATGGGATAGTGCTGGATTGGTTCACATCTTATTTGACAAATCGCCATCAGGCTGTATTCATTGATGGTTGCTCTTCTGACAACGCTCATCTCCAATGTGGTGTTCCTCAGGGATCTGTACTGGGACCGGTCCTTTTCACACTATACACAAAGGATCTCGGACTCTAATTGACCAGTTTCAAGTCTCACACAGTTGTATGCCGATGACACCCAGCTTCATAACAGCTTCAAACCAAATCCAACTGACGACGGCATTCTGCAACAGACCACATGGCAGAGTGTTGTGACCAGATCAAGTCATGGATGTTCACCAACAAGCTGAAGCTAAATGACGACAAGACAGAGTGTCTTCTGGTAGGGACAACACCTCGCCGAGAACAGACCAACATCAAGTCGTTTCACTTTGGCGAAACCACTGTTCCACTATCTAACAGTGTTAAGGACCTTGGCGTGACTGTTGATCCTGAACTGTCATTGGACCAGCACATTACCATCTTGTGCAGGACATGCTTCCTACTCGGAAGAAACATTGGAAACATTCGAAAGCTTCTCACAAATGAGTCAGCTAAAATCCTTGTCCTCTCATTGGTGATGACAAGACTAGATTACTGCAACAGCCTCTTTGCTGGTGCAACAAAATCCCAGATTGGTAGACTGCAACGGGTTCAGAACACAGCAGCAAGAATAGTCACTCTTTCACCCAAGTCAGCTCACATCACCCCTGTGTTGAAGGACCTCCACTGGTTGCCCATTCCACAGCGCATCACTTTTAAACTCTGCATTCTCGCCTTCAGATGTCTCTCTGGAAGTGCACCTCAATATCTGTCCGACCTCCTTTCTCCATACAAACCAACAAGATCCCTCCGCCCCCGAGAAACATAATCTTCTGTGTATTCCTAAAGTCAGAACAGTTAAATTTGGTCAAAGAACTTTCTCTTATGCTGCAGCCTCAGAATGGAATCATCTCCCACAACATTTGAGAGAAATTACAGAACTTTCAACCTTTCGAACATCGCTAAAGACCCACCTTTTCCAAAAAGCCTTTTCGTCCTGACATCAGCGCTTTGAGCATGCATTGTGCATGGAAATATGCGCTTTATAAATGAACTATTATTATTATTATTATTATTATCACTTCAGCGCATCATACTTCAACCCGTTCCTTGTACGACAACAAGTGGAAGAAGTTTGAAGACTATTGCAAGGTTAGGGGAATTGCATCTACCACTTCCACCTCGGCTCAGGTCGTTGCTGAGTTTTGTCCAGCATCTCCGCACTACTAAGAAACTCAAGGGTACTACGTTAGCTACCTACTTAGCCGCCATTAACTCGGTTTTGGCTACCACCACGGGCACGAAGATTCCCACTTTTCACGAGTCGCAGAGTCTACTACGCTCCTATAGACTCTGACCAGTCCAGGAAGTTCAGACCTCCGGCCTGGGATCTGTCCATCGTCCTTCGTCATATGATTTCTGCAGATTATGAACCTTTAGAAGACAAGGACTTGGAACAAGTGACATTCAAGACATTCTTCCTAAGAGCTTTGGCTACTGCTGCTCGTATATCTGAACTGCATGCTCTTGATGTCATTTGGGTGCGGTTTGAGCGGAAGAAGCATGGCAAGGTTTTCCTGGGTCTCTGCTGGGACTTCATTGCGAAAAAAAAACTGCCAGGGCAACCAGACCGGATGTTAACCATTCCCCCGTTGTCCACCATTCTTGGGCCTGATGATAATGAAGATTTGACACTCTGCCCTGTTAGGGCTCTACATGTTTACCTTGCTGCCTCCAAGGATCGTCAACGGCTACGGAAGCACCTCTTCATACCCTTGTCGACCGCTTCAAGAACTGAGGTTTCCCGGACCACATTGGCCTTCTGGATGTGTGCCACGACCCTGCGAGCGTACTCACCTTTGCATGGTTGCCTCCTCCAGCCGCTTCCAATCCTCATGAGACTCGTGCACTAGCCTCGACGATGGCCCTCCATAGCAACTGCTCCTTGACCGCTATCATGGAAGGTTGTTTCTGGCGTTCTGATACAGTCTTCTCTTCACATTACCTGCGAGACCTGTCTGTCACGGATGTCCAGGGACTACACCATTTGGGACCTCTTGTACTGGCTCAGCAGCTTACATCGGCCCAACAATGCAGATGAGGGACGGTTCCGCATTCGCGCTACTACTTCCTTGTATATACTGAATAAAAGTTGAACTGGATCTCAACCTTTTGTTCTCATTATATGGGTTTAAGAACTACTTCACTTGGCCTCCATACCAAGGCATTGGAATACGGCCACCTAGCGTGGCCCTACGGACCTTAGGCACAATCAGTATGACGATGCAGAGGTGTTCGACATTCACGCTTACTGACCTCTACTCCACGGAGCAATTACGTCAGTGAAGTGTGACACTCCCGAATTCCAGTGGATTTCGTTGCGTTCTGCCTCCAAAGTTGCCGGACACAACCTTTGACTAAGCTTAGGCAAAGGAGTGAGGGTCAATTTGATGCTGCCCGGAACTGAACGTTAAACCTTGGAGATGCCAAGTTGTGTTTCTCTTTCACCCGCCTCGGTCGGTGTCTGGGGGGCCTTCTTGAAGCAGGGGCTGGCCCGATTCTAACCGCAAGACTTTAATTACAGGGGTACCTTGTAAATCGTGGCAAGGCGAGGCTTACTTGCGAAGTTGCGTCCCTTGTCTTGTACAAGGTTGCGGCCGAACACCACATCGCTCGGGAGCACCCATCTCCCTTGGAGTCGTTGTGCTTAGTAAGCCAAGGGGTTCCGGAGAACCCACTACAAGCATATGAGTTGCGTGCATGCGTAATAGGCCTCCCTTGTACATCGCTATCTACGGTTGTCATCAGTCCACACAGCTCCAAGACCAGCTGTTCGCACTGTCCAGACAGAAGGGTAATCTGCGGCCCGCCGTCCAACCGTGGGATAAGTGCAAGTCGTGAGATAGGATAAGTTTAAAAATTTGGAAATTTTAATATAAATTGTATATTTATATATTTATCCTATCTCACGCGATGGATGACCGCCCGGCCTCCCCACTACTCAGATTACAACGTTGGCTCCAAGATGAGAATGATCAATCAAGGTAGTCACGTGGGCAATTAGTGGAGCATGCTGCAAGCTTTATTAGGAGCTAGGAAGCTAATTAAGGAGAGCAGCATGGAGTGCACGGGCGAATGGACAAGGAGGCCTATGGAAAAAAGTTTACAGTCGTTCCACTAAAAGTCGAAGCAAGAGAGAGAGGTGCAAGTCGTGAGATAGGATAAGTATATAAATATAGAAAAATGTGTGTTAGCTTCACGTAATCATTTCCTTAAAAGATTATTTTTCATGAAAATTATGTAAGGTGAGATTGAGGGAGGTATGTGTTGTGTGCAGTAACCAGTTCCACTCTTTATTTGCACAGCATGCTATGCGCATTTGCAGACAACTGTAGACAGGAGTCGAGTTCAAGACATTCCTACCTCCACCGTTGAAGAGTTCGATATTAGTTAAGATCGCGATCTTAAATCCATGCAGTCTTACAGTCACACTAAGATCTTTGTGCAAGTAGATTAGGGCCATTGTATGGTGATTGTAAAGTTGATTGTAAGGCCCTAAGATTGATTGTAACTAAGATTGCTCTGTGCAATTGGGCCCTGAACATTCTGGTACTCCCCTGGCCATCTGTTTCTCTGGACCTGTCCCCTGTCAAGCAAGATCGGGATGAAATGGAGTGATGTTTATGTCAAGCCCAGAATCTTCCATTGACGGTAGCTGAATTGGGACAAGCTTTGGTTCAGACATGGAACAACAATCCCCAAGCTCTCTTCAATCGCTTAGTGTCATCTATCCATCGTTGTTGTCAAGCCTGCATCAACGCCAATGGTGGACACATATGATGCTGACTTTGTGAACTGACGTGTGACACATCTCTTCAAGGGTGTGTCACGATGCCTTGTGTCAAATCATACAGATTTCAATGTCATCCTGTGAACACTTAAATAGTGATTAAGGAAAACACCACAACTCATGTTATTATCTTTTTGCATTAAATATGGCAAAACATCAAATAATGCACAGTTACTTTATGCCAGTAGGATATATAACATGGCTGCAGAATTGAATGCTGAGATGGATGTCATTGTTATTTGTAATGCTGTCATTTATTGATTTATTGCACTTATCTGACATAAGCTAGTGATACTATGGGCTATCAAAGTTACATTCTGAAGCCTGTTTTGAAGGGGAACCATATGGATATGATTATCTTGCTGACATGTCATCTTTCTCTGTTGATACTGTTACCATAGTGACTGTATGGTATTACAATGAACACCAAACACCTGGCAATTTCAAAGTTTCCAATTTCATGCAACCACTTTCCTCAAAACAATTGGTTGCTTGTCACAGTTAAAACATTTCAATGATTTACTCTGTATTTAACTTGGTCACACACATCTTCTGTGAATGTGGGACAAATTTCTTACTCATTGGATTATATGCATGCAATAACCTTGAAGCAAATATAGTTTTAAGGTCATCAAAGATAAACAGGATAAATTATGTGATTATCATGCATGATTCTGAAAAATCCATGGTAAGTCTATTTTGATGTGAGGCTTGATCTTTCTGAATGAAGATTTGTATACATTTCAGATATGTCTTGATGAAGCACAGATGGTGGAGTGCACCACAACTAAGGTACTAGCCTGTAATGTCAGAGCAGGAGTCAGTCATGTGTGTCAGTGAAAGAGTCAGTCATGTGTGTCAGTGAAAGAGTCAGTCATGTATGTCAGTGTAGAAGTCAGTCATGTATGTCAGTGCAGGAGTCCGCCATATGTGTCAGTGCAGGAGTCAACACTGCCGCTGTTACAGGTCAATGGCTCCCTCCCTCTGCAAGCATTCTGCGTTCTGCTGTTTATTTTGTTGACAGTTACATAGACAGATTCTTTAATACAAATGCATAAAATCGGTGATTTACAATGTGATTAGGTTGTCTGACAAAACATCCACTTGCACAGTTTAAGATCGATTGGGTCATTGGATGAAAAGATATTTACCAAAAAACGGGTCCACATGTATTTCATGCCAAACTATAGGTAGGAATGTGTTGTGTTAGTGTAATGGAGCGCTAGGTGGGAATGTGTTGAGTTAGTGTAGTGTTGCACTTGGTAGGAATGTGTTGCATTAGTGTAGTGTTGCACTAGTAGGAATGTGTTTTGTTAGTGTAGTGGTGCACTAGGTAGGAATGTGTTTTGTTAGTGTAGTGGTGCACTAGGTAGGAATGTGTAGTGTTGCACTAGGTAGGAATGTGTTGTGTTAGTGTAGTGTTGCACTAGTAGGAATGTGTTGTGTTAGTGTAGTGTTGCACTAGGTAGGAATGTGTTGTGTTAGTGTAGTGGTGCACTAGGTAGGAATGTGTAGTGGTGCACTAGGTAGGAATGTTATGTGTTAGTGTAGTGGTGCACTAGGTAGGAATGTGTTGTGTTAGTGTAGTGTTGCACTAGGTACGAATGTGTAGTGGTGCACTAGGTAGGAATGTTATGCGTTAGTGTAGTGGTGCACTAGGGAGGAATGTGATGTGTTAGTGTAGTGGTGCACTAGGTACGAATGTGTAGTGGAGCACTAGGTAGGAATGTTATGTGTTAGTGTAGTGTTTCACTAAGTAGGAATGTGCTTTGTTAGTGTATTGGTGCACTAGGTAGGAATGTGTTTTGTTAATGTAGTGTTTCACTAAGTAGGAATGTGTTTTGTTAGTGTAGTGGTGCACTAGGAAGGAATGTGATGTGTTAGTGTAGTGTTTCACTAGGTAGGAGTGTGTTGTGTTAGTGTAGTGGAGCACTAGGTAGGAATGCGTAGTGGTGCACTAGGTAGGAATGTGTTGTGTTAGTGTAGTGGTGCACTAGGGAGGAATGTGATGTGTTAGTGTAGTGTTTCACTAGGTAGGAATGTGTTTTGTTAGTGTAGTGGTGCACTAGGTAGGAATGTGTTTTGTTAGTGTAGTGGTGCACTAGGTAGGAATGTGTAGTGGTGCACTAGGTAGGAATGTTATGTGTTAGTTTAGTGTTGCACTAGGTAGGAATGTGTTGTGTTAGTGTAGTGTTGTTTTAGGTAGGCATGTGTTGTGTTAGTGTACAGGTGCACTAGGTAGGAATGTGAAGTGTTGCACTAGGTAGGAATGTGTTTTGTTAGTGTAGTGGTGCACTAGGTAGGAATGTGTTGTGTTAGTGTAGTGGTGCACTAGGTAGGAATGTGTAGTGGTGCTCTAGGTAGGAATGTGTTTTGTTAGTGTAGTGGTGCACTAGGTAGGAATGTGTTTTGTTAGTGTAGTGGTGCACTAGGTACGAATGTGTAGTGGTGCACTAGGTACGAATGTGTAGTGATGCACTAGGTAGGAATGTGTAGTGTTGCACTAGGTAGGAATGTTATGTGTTAGTGTAGTGGAGCTGTAGTGAGGAATTAAAGTTGCATGTTTTTTAAACCTGTGTTTTTCTATAATCTACAGACTGCAGAAATGGCCTTGCGACTGAGTGGAGTTAATCGTTGGTGTGTCACTGGTACTCCAATACAGAAGAGTGTACAAGGTATGCTTTTTGAAAAATGTTTACTAATCCTTTTGACATTAATAACGGCTCAGTAGAATCTGTCAAAATGTTTTGGAATACGAGGGCAAATGTAAAGATTTGTGGCCTCATGTAGATTGCGCAACTAAAAGTACAAGTGAGTTAGATCTCCTTGCAGCGTGGTTATACAACTGTAAACATGCCAACATTTGTAGTTATGATTAACTTATGATCAGGTTACAACAATACTTACTTGAACGTAACATCAACATCACAATAATGGAGCCTTATGAGAAAGGAGTTGTTATTTAATACTTGTTAAGAAAAGAAATGATTAAAAAAGAAATACAAGAATTCACTTGGAGAAGACTTTCCTTCATTTTCAGCTGTAAATAAGATGGGTTGCTGAATTTTAACCTTTCAGAATCAGTACAGAAAATGAGCTAGGTGAGGCTGTCACAGAAATGCCGCTACTGGCATCCATGTTGGGGCTGTACATCGTAAGGTGCAGTCTGATTAATGTGTCGCTGTTAAACACATTGCAGAAACATTTGGCTTCAGATTTGGTTTAGTTAAGACTATCTTAATTGACAATCTTCCCATGAGCAAACTCTCTGCAAGATTGGTATCTTGAATGTTGACAGAGGCATAAAAGGTTGCTTAAATGAATTACCCGGTAGTCAAGAGCTCTTGACCTGATACCAGGTGAACTCAGATATATATACCTGGGTACATCTTTGATCCTGAGTCAAAAATACAGAATTAACAGTGAAAACATGCTACCTCGCCTCAATCAAAGACATTGGCAAAGTCATGGCTTCAGCCTTTCGAGACTGTTGAAGCATCATAACTTCAGTAGGTGTTTCTTCGGGAGACTAAGGGGAAAACATACAAAGAAGGTATAAAAAAGCTATAACATTGCTGGACCAAGTGAATTGCCATCAAAGGTGATTGTGTCAAAAAGAAAATATGAACTATAACTTAGTGTGAGTGAGAGTTGTCTTGATTCAGATCTGTATGGCCTGCTGCTGTTCCTGGGTATGGATCCCTACTGGGTACAACTGTGGTGGAACAAGCTGCTGTACCAGCCATTCACCTATGGCATCACTCAGCCTATGTATCACACCCTGTCACAGGCACTGTGGCGCACAGCAAAGAAAGATGTGTTGGATCAGGTTTGTTGCTTGCTTTAGTACACCCGTCCTGTGCTGACCACAATTCATATACTTGTGAATTGTGACATGGTCATCAGGCAGCCCCCAGCGGAGGACAGGAACTCCATCACACTTTCTTCATTTTGAATGACCTTCACATACATTCATGCTCACTAAAAGTTGAATGTTTGTTATGAAACATGATAAAGTCAAAGAAATTTAGGTTTAAGTGATGAAAAATTCAAAAAAATGGAATTCAATGTCATGATAGTCATTGCACAAAAGAAATGTAGGTGGGTAAGTGAGTGAATGTGGGAGTGAGTTGATAAAGAAAACATTCCAATCAAGTCAAACAGTATTTTGGAATACTTAATTTCTATTACATCATTGCGCTGACTTCTTCACCTTCCATTTTCTTCACTATATGACTGAAATAATGCAGAAACGACTTTAAATTTTTACTCAATATTCGCATGTGCCTAAAAGGAAAACCTCAATTCTTTCCTGTGTGTGCTCTTGACTGCTTCAAACAAACAGTTCAACTGCACAATATCACCATGAATATTTTCTAAAGTGATTAGGATTACTATTACTCTGTGACCCAGCTGAAGTTTCATATGTTTTGATTGTAAATTGCTTAAACTTCAGTCCTTAAATTACTGGGCATAGTGTTTGGATCAACATGATCCCAGATGTCTTTCCTGCTGAAGTGGAAGTGCAAGGGCACGACTACTTTGCAAGTGCATTCCAAGTATGGATGTTTAAACCAAAATTGAAGCATGGATGAAGAAGAAGAAGACACAGCTTAGTAGATTGTGGACATGTTGTTCATGGAGATCTGAATGTGACCTTCTGTCGTTGAGAGACCATGAGGAGAATGGGCAATATGTCCAAGGGATGAGCCTCATCTTCACAGCAGAAGCAACCTTCCTCAACATCTTACACAGCACAGCCATTTCCTTCAACATGATAGCAGACTTGTTGAGGCTTTGCATGTTTTTAATCAGAAATTCTTGAATATTTGCAAAGGGGTTGATAACTTGAAGAAGAGTTCAGCTCAGTCACCAGATAAAACTGCCTTATGGCCAGACGCTTTCAAGCAGAAGGAGGATGATCAACATATTTCGCAACCTTTAGATTCTCTTGGCTTTGGAAAGGTACTACATGGTGGTTGTGATATTCCAGCAAAGATCTGACCCGATGGGAAAAACATACAGTCATAAGCCCTCTCAACAGTCATGGGCAATCCAGGAAGGAATTGGCATCAACAATCCCACAGCTTTGATCATTGGTCACACATAGAAGCTGCATTGATTCCATACAGGATGGCAGGTGACTGGATGGGCACTGCTAGCACATATCCACCCAACTACTTTGAAGGCACATCATATCTGATCATTATCACTAGTTTGGTTTTAGACTGATCTGGAATATTGTGGTCAAGAGAACTGGCACATCACACAGTAACCCATTGCCCGACGTCCGAGTCCAGTGTTTTTTTCTGTTGGGCAAGCAAATCTGTATATCACACTGTACCGGTGTCCAGTTGACTTTCCAACGCTAATTACAGTGAGACCTCGGATACCAGGACCCCAGATATCCGGAAACCTCGCCTTCCGGTCAATTTTTAGCAAAAAAAATCTCTTACATTATAAAATTGACTGTCTATAATGGATTTTCGGTTTCCATTTCCGGACGGTACATTTTACAAACAAACTGGCTAAATCAACACGAAATTGACTCACCTATCCGCACGAAGCTTTGATCTACCGCTAACCGTGTGAAGGGAAGTGCGAGAGTCCCACGTGTTTTGACATGAGACATGGTCGGCAAATCAGGATTAATTATCATCAAGGTATTGGTGGTGATTAGAAGGCCTAGCTGACACTGAGTTAACCATTGAGTTCTAACTGTTAAGTTGTTTATTCAGTCTAAGCAATAAAAGTGCAGTGTGTCGATATTCAAGTCAGTTGGTCTTTCAATTGATCACAAATGGCTAGTCAACCTACTAAACGCAAGCACTACGCAGTGACAGCCAAGGAAAAGAAAGAGATATGTCAAAAATCCAGATATCTGGATATTCAATTATCCGGACGATTTACGTAAAAACAAATGTGTCCGGATATCCGAGGTCTCACTGTATGTTGTTTATTTAAATAATCAACAAGAAAACGGCCGATATAGTGGAAAAATTATCAGGGCAAGTGATTTTACATGCGGCCACTGTACCGGAGTACACTAGCAATTTTAAAGTTATTTCCAACCCCTGTGACTTACATCTGCAGCCAATATTATTTATCTGCTTAATAGTTTATGTTCTGGTGAAACCACTCACCTTTCCTAAAAGTGCTAAAAAGACTGATGGGATCTTTTTCTTTTGAAAGAGGTGAAGACTTCATCCCGAAATGGAATATGTCAGTGTTTCTTTAGCCTTACTTGTAAGACCTGTATTATAGTTTACGTAATGCCTCCTTTCTGCAAAGTCTGAGGACACAGCATTCTCACTAGCTTTGGCTACAGCAGTCATTTCAAGCATAAAAAAAGTATCTGTAAATTTGAGATTGACTTTTAAGCAATATAAGCAAGAATACCTATACAATAATTTTCGGAGAGAATTCTGGTGACATACTGAATAGTGAGTGAGTGAGTTTAGTTTTACGCTGCACTCAGCAATATTCCAGCTAAATGGCGCCGGTCTGTAAATAATCGAGTCTGGACCAACATACTGAAGAAGAGGCATATACAAGGACAAAGATGACCATCTGCAGGGCCTGTGAAAAGTGCTTTTTCAACACACTGGGAAAGTTTAATACCTTCACATTAGCAATTACATGTATTAGTAGATTTGGGACTGGTTAAAACTACACAGGGATTTTTCGTAGCAACCTGTGTGTATTTCAATACAGCAAATCCTTACAGCAGATATATTACTTTTGGCTGATAATTATTGCCTGGAATACTAAACAAACATATACTAGTATCATACCATCATAAGAAACACAGGTTAAAATGAATTTTTGGAAGGTTAAGTACTATAAATAACATGCCTGATTCTTTGTCTAACTACAAAATATACAGGCTGACTACTTTCAAAATAATCAATACGATACAAGGACTGAGTTATTCTTGAACGTTTGTGATGTAGAAAGGCGTTTCCCATTCTCGCGGTACTTACGGATATCGGCTGAAAAAATAACACAAACAATTCTTATCGTATGAATGCTTATTGTTATTAAATGAAGGGCCTTCTCCTCTAACATCTGCATCAATCAGCTGCCAGATCCATCAGGTGAACTACCACTCGTGAGCCCGGTGATAAACAATGCCATCCGCCATTGACGCAACGAGGCTTCTCCCATTCTCGCGGTATTACCAGGAATTAACGTTATTGAGTGAATGTAAGAGCAATCCTGCTGGAAAGGGCGAGAAAAAGTAATGATATGTCCAAGTTGGTATAAACTCCCCAATATTCGTGACACTGCAAGATTTTGATCATTCACCGACTTGGTCCACTTCCTAGTTACCAGTCGATGATGTAAACAACCGCTAAGTGTCACGCATCAGCAATTTCGGCAGAAAACGTATTTACCGCGAGAATAGGAAACCGCGAGAATAGGAGACTGACCTATACTTTCATCATAGATGATGAGCCTCAGATAAGTTTATTTATTGGTAGTTGAAAAGTCCGACCTATCACAAGGAAGGGTTTGTTAAGTAAAACGAAAAGAATGTGAAACACACACTCACTGATTCTCTCTTATTTATAGCAATTTGGACTTAAGAATAGCATATCTACAATTCTGAAATCAATAGAGATCTTCTGTGGATTGTAAACAATTTGAGTTGATATGGCAGGATACATACAGAATCAGAATCTCATAACTGAACTTAAAGGACCCTATTCACCTAACTTTTCAATGGGACCTTTGTCTTTTGCCCCAGTATTGTTGCTTACACTTAGATAAGTCTATATTTTGATTCTACAAAAGTTAAGAAGTTACCGGTAGTAGAATTGAATGAGTTGATCAGGTCTTTGAATGGCATTTAGAAGTGATACACATATGGAAGAGAGTTTTTATGGATGTCAACTTCTTTATTTTGAGGAACACAGTGTTTTGGAGTATGTCCTTACTCATACATCAGGTGAATGAAGGAGTAAGGATATACACTGAAACACTGTGTTCCTCATAATAAAGAAGTTGACATCCATAAAAACTCTTTCTTGAATGAGTTGATTTAATCAAGTATGGAAGCAAAACAATATACATAGTGTGTAGGTACTTAATTACATTGTTATTGATAGTAATGGTTAATGAGTTGTATTTTATGCAAATTTTTAGGAAATTATAATACTTGTGTTAATTCTTGTAACACATGTTTTATTTGGGATTGCACTTTCTCATCCAATTCATCAATTGGGAAGGGGCAGCTTTTGTAAGAACTGTCCAACACCTTTCCAAGATCATCTTGGAATGTTTGTTTCCAAAACCTGACTAAGGCAACTCTCAATTATACATTTTGACACCAAACTTTCTTAAATTTTCTGATATTAATTTGCATAGACAGCAAGATCAAATTTTCTAGAGTTATTAGATTCTTAAGCATTTAAATTCTTCAACAATGATAGGATTTTGTTGTTAGACTCTGTAAATGTGACTGTAGAAAAATGTTGATTGTAATACTTGTTGATTGTAATACTTGTTGATTGTAATACTTGTTGATGTGACTGAATGGGATGTTGTAGATCGAGCTGCCCCCTCAGTGTCAGGCTGTGCACTGGCTGACCTTCTCCCCAGTGGAGGATCACTTCTACCGTCGACAGTACCGGGACTGTGCCAAGGAGGCAGCCCAGGTACACTGCAGACTCTTTTAACTCATGCCAGCGGTACACCTACAGAATACCGGATACCTACCAACCATATTCTTTGTTAGCACGCGCACTTCCTATTATAGGGAAGTACGAGCTATATTATTCGAAACAATAAGCGAGCATTAAAATGAAAAATAACCATTGAAATCGGATTGATTGAGACGACTTCCGGTTAGTAAAACTAACCAACGATTTTTAAAATGAAAGGTAAGTTATCACAAATAAAAAATATATGCGCCTTTGAAAAAAACGGACCTACGGAATTCTGGGAGTTGGAGCTTCGCTTCCCTGCAACCCGATGCTAACGACAGTGCTGACGATTTCGTTCTGTGAAGGTAAGCATCATATCTAATGTCTAATCTAACCCTAAACCCTAACCCTAACCCTAAACCTAACCCTAAACCCTAACCCTAAACCCTAAACCCTAATGCTCGTAATGTCGAGTATGCAACATAAACAAAACGCCGTTACTAAGGAACTCAGTTGCGCACATTTTTGTGCGCAGTTCTAAAATAAGCTTTCCAAGATGGCGGAAGGTATCCGGTATTCTGTAGTCTTGCCATGCCAGCAAATCACCTCAACTTCGCTGTCTATGAATATTTAAAAACCTAAAATTACATTTTTAGCTCACTCGACTAAAAGTCCAGTGAGCTCTTGCCGTTGCTTGTTTGTCCTGTTCATATCGTCTTTTGTCATAACCTTCTCAAAAACCACTTAACCATTGAAGCTGAAATTTCACATACTAGTACTTGTTTCCACTAATTATTAAACTTCAATTTGTTCTTGATGTCCAAACCTATTTTCTGTATTCTGTAATTTCTGTAATAGAGAAATCTATTTTCTTACAAACTGTCCTGAAATTTGGTGCATATTGTTGGTAGATGGGCCATTTCTTTCCAATATTTTATCATTAATTTTTAACCCTTTTTTCACCTTCGTCACAGAAATATATTAAAAAATGTTGATCATTTACAAAATGTAATACAGTTTGATAGTGGTTTAGTTGGACTCAACACATACTGTGCAATATTTTAGCTTGTTTACATTATTACCCTAGTCATGTATGTGTATTTGGCTTCCTAAACTTCAGCTCTGATACTGAGGAGTTGAAATTTGTTGTGTTTCTCCCAATGATATACTTTATATTGTTTGAATCATAATATTTTATGTAATTCTGTAGTCCTCTTCTATCCTCTTTTGATATGTGACTGTCATTGCTGGCATGTTATTCATGTGATGACATATCCAGGTGAGTTACAGTGCTGTAGAACTGTTTTGGTTCCCACCGTCTACTATTTTGAAAGCTTATTACAGTTTTCAATGGCTTTTCTGACTCACCTTTAAGGGTTTCTGGAGGAAGCAAACCCCAGAGAGTTAACTGACACCATGAAAAGGTGTCCTGCTGTTTTATAATTGAAGCCAAATATAGTCCCACTAAGGAATGCATGATGCTTATGTTGTTATATGAATGTCAAATTTATTGTGAAACACTGTTGTAATTGTATAACCAGTACATGTTTTTCTGTTAAGATTCAGTAGACAAGCTGATATATATTTGATGTTTTGGGTGTCAAGGGTGGTTTGGAATCTTCCAGGACAGCGTAGATTAATCCAGTATAGTATGGAAATGTCTGAAAGATTTATAACACTTGCATCTTTTATGAATATCAAGTTTTCCTCCTGGATATCCAGCCTAGCACTAATTTGGAAGGTTGACCACCATTTCTTCGATGTGCGTCTGTGTTTCTTTGCTTAAAATCCTTAAATCTCTGGGACTATAGCGTGTACAACATGCGAATACCATGAATTTGTAAATTTGTAGTCTGGTTAATTTATCGATGCATTCAGAGGGTAAAACGTTCTAGATATGTCTTTTAAATAATAACAATAGCCATTATAAGTCAGCAATAACAACTTCTAAGACTGCTTAGTTATTCTCTAATACAAACTGGAGACAAGGATACCAATGTCAGTAACAGCATTCGGCATACTCATGCCACACCAGGCACATCCACTCTTTCAGGTTTATTGTGCTTTTATCGAAGGTTACTGGTAAAATAACTTGAGCAATGTCTCGCAGACTGAGACATTTTGGATATCATTGTCTCTCACTGGAAATAATTGTTAAACTAACAGCAACCTGAAACATCTTATATAGAGAGGGTTCTATTTCACATATTGCTACCTGATTGTTAAACTGACAGCAACCTGAAACATCTTATATAGAGAGGGTTCTATTCCACATATTGCTACATGATTATTAAACTAAAAGCAACCTTAAACATCTTATACAGAGAGGGTTCTATTTCACATATTTTTCCTTATCCTGACTCATGCTCTTTTTGCTTGTCTTCTTCCGAACATAGTGGAACACTTGTATCTCCCTAATTGAAGCTCCCTTCAATTTAAAATCACTAATCAATACTCACCAAGAGTTGTCTCTCTTTGCCCCTTTTGGTGGGAAAGGTGGCGCCACCACATCCCACATGCTTCACTCTCTTCTTCTTCGCCCAGTGAGCAGGATGTTAGAGCACCTGTGTCTCCTTACGGCACTATATCTTTTGATTATTCTTACTTAGTTACCTCTACAAGTCTCTTATAGAGGTTTAGCTAGTATCCTTTAACAATTATTCGTATTTACTCGTATTTACTGCTGTTTATTTGCGGTTTACGCCGTGATTGTTCAGTAGATTACGTTGATGAAAATCTGTACTGTTTGCAAGTTAAGTTTTTCTGCTGCTGATCCGCATTTAATATGCCCTAGCTGTACTGTACCATGTTCTTTCAGTTCTCGTTGCAGTTTCTGTATTAATTTATCTCATTCTGCTTTTAACAAATATTTACTTTGCGTCCTGAGACGCGCAGCAGATAGGTCACGTAAACAGAGTCTAGGCGTGGCTAATGCTACTGAACCCCTCGCAAGTCAACTGCTGTCGGATGACCGACCCCCTCCCGTCTGGTGTTCCGCTGGAGTTACCCTCGGAGGAGAGGCGTGGGACGCAGTCCGCCATCTCCAAGAAGCATCCTGCATCACCAGACATCCTGTCGTCGCAGCCTAAGACTAAGAGGGCATCTACGTCACAACGCAGACTCCGCACCCCCAGGGCAGCATTTACTACCAAGGGGAAAACAACGCAGTCAGCAAGAACTTTCTCTGCCGAGATTGTTCCCGCCGCAGAACAGGGCCTGTATGATGAGCAGCCGCTCATCATACCTGATGTTCATCGCAAGAAACGACCGGTGTCAGCTACAGTGACGTCAGCGCAGATCCTCAATCAGCCCGATGTATCAACGCTGATGACGGACGATCTTCCCATGGGTCCCGTCGCTACCAACGCAGATAGGGCAGCTACTACAACTTCGCAGACCGTCCTGGGCGACCTGGTTCATCAGATTATGAAGTTGATGGAAGACCGCTACGGACTGGAGAAAAAGAAACAACCAGCCCAGGACCTAGACGTCACCCCTGAGGGACCCCCCGTCAATGTAGCGGCTGCTACCAAGTCACCACTGAGGGACCAGCCTGCGCGAAGGACGTCACAGTCTACCTCTGCGAAGGACCCAGACGTTCAGCGTTTGCGAAGGCCTTCGCGAAGGACACCTAGATCGTCACCAGCCTCGGACTCTGATGATCAACATTCGCGAAAGCGTTCGCGAAGAAGGATCCTCTCATCCACGGACTCTGCCTCAGACCACCAGCCTTCGCGAAGGCCTTCGCGAAGGTCAAGTCGTCACTCCCCAGGACCAGACTCACGGAGGACTCCAAGTCATCTTCGTCTAGAAGATCATCGAGGGATTCCCCAAGAACTTCGCGGAGCTATCGTTGTTCACTACAACGTAGATCTCCGCGAAGGTTACTGTACAGACACAGCTCGTCAGGCCGTTCTCCACGTCGATCTCCTCGCCATTCTCCCAGTCGGTCGCCTTTGCCGTTCACCTTGTCGATCGCCTCATAGGTCTCCACGTAGATCACCACGCAGGGCACCTCATAGATCACCACGTCGCTCGCCTCATAAGCCTCCGCGAAAGTCTCCAGTCAGGTCTCCTCATACGTCGCCATGCACAGCTGTTCAAGTATACAGAACTCCACCTCAGTCACCATCGGAAGAGTATCATCGGCCTTTTACCAATGCTCCCGGATACCGAAGATGATGGAGGCATCATATTCTCCGACGTAGAGATACACTACTGGATGGCCAACAACCTGGACCTGGCTTGGCCGTCTAAAGACAGCAACCCGGCTCACACCTATCTCATGAGGGAGGACGACGCAGACACGATCACCCTACCTCCGATTGACCCTATAGCAACGGTTCCACAGAACTTGGATACAGCTTTCCAAACAGCCACTAAAGCTCAGGCGCCGCACTTACCTCAGTTCAACGCCAAGAAGTTCTTTGCTCATAACATGGACCCATTCTACAAAGCTCAAGAAATCGACGATAACTTTAAAGTCATCAACAATGCCAAGGCCAAGGCGTACAAGATAGAGGATCACAAGCTGACTCAAGTCGAAACTATGACCAGAAGAATGTTTTTCGGGCCCCAACAGATCCAGAACTATTAATGAAACTCTCATCACTAGATTCCGAGATTCTACATCAGAAGACGACAGAATGATATACTTGGCCCTCCTTATGCAGAAGAAGGACCAGCAATTCTTGACGGATCACCTTTCATCCATCTCAGGAGCTCTTACTCAGGCTCGTCGTCAAGGTCTCCTCGCCATCTGTAGTTGGGGTGAACAGTTCACAGCACCTCTATTCACAGCCCCATGGTCAACGCCTTCCATCTTCGCTGGAGGAATTGATAAAGTCTCTAAAGAAGTCATCAAGGATTCAAGAGAAGTCCTCATGATTAAATTGATTGACACTCTGACTAGCGTCATCAAGCAGACATCACAGAGATACTCCGGAAGATCGAAGTTCACTGGTTTACAGAGAGCACGGGACAGGAAGATGGCCGGATCCAGAGGTGGAAAGGACTCTTTTCGCCGCCCATTCGGCAACTACAGGGGAGGATCTGGAAGAGGCAGGGCACCCAGAGGCTCCCGCAACTATCGACGTTGAAAGACGGGTTTGGAACGACTGGAGTCTTCCACCCCCAGCCGTTCCTGTACAACCTTCACAAGTGGGTGGACGCCTTCAACTGCACTGGGAGAACTGGGGAATGCTACAAGATCCATATGTCTCCAACATCCTTCAACACGGATTTCGAATCCAACTACAGGCCACGCCTCCGCTTACAGTCAACCCTCACAAGTTCGACTTCCAGGCACAACAACTACTAAAGTTACGAGAAGCTGTTTCATCTCTCCTAACCAAGCAGGCCATAGAAATCGTGGATCAAGTAAACATCGAGCCAGGTTTCTACTCCCCAGTTTTCCTAGTGCCCAAGAAAAATTCCAAGGAAAAGTTCCGACTCATCTACAACATGAGCACGTTCAACAGGGATTATCTACGCAAACCGCCAACGTTTCGCATGATACATCTACCTCAACTACGGCACCTCGTTCGTCCGATGGACTACATGGCCAGTATAGATCTACAGGATGCCGACCTGCATATCCCGATACATCCCGACTCGAGGAAGTACCTACGGTTTACTCTAGACGGGCTACATTACCAATGGAGGGTACTACATTTTGGAATATCATCGGCCCCCCTGGTTGTTCACAAGAGTAACAAAACCCATCGTCACTTACCTACATCGTCAAGGGCTACGCAGTGCGTTCTACCTCGACGACGGGATTCAAGTAGATCAAGATCCAGAGCGTCTCAAACTACAACTGAATTTCACCATTTCGCTCATCTCGACGACCTTCAACCATTCGGTCTACCGAATTACCTCAGACCTCATCTACTTTGGTGGACCAGGAGGTCGAATGTTTGCGAAGGCATCTATTTAACAGAGCCGGAGTTCAAAACCCATCTCTATGCAGACGCGTCGCTCCAAGGTTGGGGAGCTCATCTCGCCAACCGGACGGTATCAGGGTTATGGAACCAAGAAGAGAGCAAACTGCACATAAACATGCTCGAAATGAAAGCAGTAATCAACGCCCTACTTCATTGGAGCACCATTCTACAGAATGCGCACCTAATGATCCACACCGACAACTCAACAGTGGCGTTTTATATAAACAAACAAGGTTCAACGAGATCATTGAACCTATTGACTCTATGCTTCCAACTGTTCGATCTGATCGACGATCTAAACATACATGTCAGAGCATGCCACATTCCCGGAGCCAAGAATGTACTAGCAGATGCACTCTCTCGGCCATATCTACCGTCACCGACAGAATGGAAACTCCACCCAGAAATCTTTGCTCAGATTATCATGGAAATAGGAGCTCCATTAATAGACCTATCTACGTATCTCGCAGCATTAAGTTCAGTGATAACTATGAGAACGGGTGTCAAGTTAACGAAGACGCCAGAGCTACTGGCCTTGCTACGTTCATTCCGATTGGAGGATCAGAAACAGAGATTTCGCGCTCCAGCATGGGATCTAAATATAGTGCTCCAACACCTCACAAGTGAGGCTTATGAACCACTGGAATCAACATCGTTCGAATTTCTGACGCAGAAAACACTGTTCCTGCTATCCCTAGCAACGGCAGCCAGAGTATCAGAAATCCACGCTCTAGACTACGAGAGAACACGTTTCAATGAGAATCAAAACACAGTGCATATGGGACTGTGATGGGACTTTATCGCCAAGAATCAAATGCCAGGTCAACCAGACAGATTATTCCACGTCCCTGCACTTTCCTCGATACTCGGACCTCATGATACGCTTGATCTATCATTATGCCCAGTGAGAGCACTCAAAGTTTATTTACAACGATCCAAAACTAGGCGAAGAAAACTCAAGCGGTTATTCATCCCTCTATCTACAGCGACTGAGACCGAAGTCTCACGTACCACGATATCGATATGGATCAGAACTGTCATACTTCGAGCATACAAGGCTGCAGGACTCGACCCTCCAAGAGCATCTAATCCTCATGAAATCAGAGCACTGGCTTCGACACTCGCTCTACATGGAAATTACTCGTCGAATACCATTATGGAGGGCTGCTTTTGGAACCGACATGGTGTTTGCTAACCACTACCTGAGAGATATATCGCCACCGAGGACGCCTCAGGTATTCACCATTTCGACCATTGGTTTTAGCACAGCAGTTGACAGTTCCTCGTGAGATCGATGAGACATAGTCTCACGAGATTATATCTGTATATACTATTTCAGTATTTATCAAGCTTACAAACTCTACGGAGTTTTTGCTAGTGTATATCTTAAGCCTACATTAGTCTTAAAACCCAGTACCTATGTTACATGTACTATTGGGTCGCTTCTCCACTTTGGAGTCGCTTATTCCTATATTATTTTAATATTGTAGTACCCCCATCTATGGCAGCTGGTAGAACTTATGTATGATAACAGCAGAAATTAATTTAATTACAGTGCCATTACGAAGTTCCCGTAGGGGGTTATTACATCTAAATCACTAATTAAAATCCAAAGTATCTGTTCCCACCTCCGATTCACCGGATTCTACAAGCAAAAGAGCATGAGTCAGGATAAGGAAAATATGTAATTTTCTGAATAAAATTGATATTTTATACTTATCCTGACTCATGAGGTAAGCCCTCCCATCCTCCCCACATGACACTTTGGGATTTCCCTGAAAATTCAAGTGTCGGGCTCGTTAAACAGGAGAGAGTGAAGCATGTGGGATGTGGTGGCGCCACCTTTCCCGCCAAAAGGGGCAAAGAGGGACAACTCTTGGTGAGTATTGATTAGTGATTTTAAATTGAAGGGAGCTTCAATTAGGGAGATACAAGTGTTCCACTATGTTCGCAAGAAGAAGAAGACAAGCAAAAAGAGCATGAGTCAGGATAAGTATAAAATGTCTATTTTATTCAGAAAATTACATATTGCTACATGATTGTTAAACTAACAGCAACCTGAAACATCTTATATAGAGAGTGTTTTATTTCACATATTGCTACATGATTATTAAACTAACAGCAACCTGAAACATCTTATATAGAGAGGGTTCTATTTCCATATTGCTACATGATTGTTAAACTAACAGCAACCTGAAACATCTTATATAGAGAGGGTTTTATTTGACATATTGCTACCTGATTGTTAAACTGACAGCAACCTGAAACATCTTATACAGAGAGGGTTCTATTTCCATATTGCTACATGATTGTTAAACTAACAGCAACCTGAAACATCTTATATAGAGAGGGTTCTATTTCCATATTGCTACCTGATTGTTAAACTGACAGCAACCTGAAACATCTTATATAGAGAGGGTTCTATTTCAGATATTGCTACATGATTGTTAAACTAACAGCAACCTGAAACATCTTATACAGAGAGGGTTCTATTTCACATATTGCTACCTGATTGGATTGATAGCACACCATTTCCCTGAAGGATGATGTATTACAGCTGTTTCACTGATTATATAAGCAGTCTGGTCAGTCAGGTTATTACTGTTGGTTTATTTATTTCTAAGAATGTTTGTGGATTAATACTGTACACACTGGGTTGTATGGTTATATCACTGTCGACTAAATTTCTTTTGCTTGATCTTGAATATTCTCAATAAAGGTGTGCATGCATTACAGAGCCTTAATGTCATCAAAATTATATGCCTTTATGTTACTTTTGTCTAAATTTACATATTTTTGCAAAAATCTCTGTCTACATTTACATGGGTTTACATACATATATCTCTGAATTTACAAGTTACTGAAGTTTGTAAAGGTCATGTTTTCTTCCAGTGAGAGTTGTGTTACCTTTGACAACACTAAATTTAATTACAAACTGAACATGCATTGTTAGATTTCAAATGTGTAATTTATCACCTTGAAATCTTCACTTGACATAGCACTACATTGAAAACAATGTCTTCCTGGTCAATCTGCCTTGACAGAAACCAAACTTATTAAATCAGACTAGATCTCACATGCTCACTTGGAGGTTGATGAAACTGTATTGTGATTGGCTAACCCCCTATATGCTGATCTGGGAATGCTAATAAATGATAACATTCACAGAGGAACAGTGTTTTTGAAAATGACTAGTCAAATTCTTTTTTTTTTGTGACAGAAATTGTGCAAGTGGACTGACAGCAGTGTTAAGCTGAGCAGCATGGACAGACACACTATGAGCCAGGTAATATCACTCATTGCAATACACTGTACAAGATGCAAAACAAATGGCACTTGCAGCTTGGCCTGGGTAAGATCACCTCATTTCAATACAAATTATAAGATGCTTATCAACAAGATAAAAATACTTAACATTATCCTGTGATAAAGCACACTTTCTGAGTTCTGTCATAATGTTGTTGAAATTACTCTCCCCCTAACATATCATTGGTAACATAGCTCTATTATTCCAGCCAATCAACATGGTATGTCCACATTTGTTGATCGGTACAATAGTTGCATAAAGTGGATCTGATGAAACACATTATGGGTGTTCACAATTATGAGATGACATGGTTATATCAAGCAATGTTTATCTGTAACACTTGAAATGTTAAAATATATCAAACTTATAATCCAATTGCTTCTTTCTTTCTGTTGTTTAATCACATACTATTTCATTCAGTTGATTCAGCCATTGCTGCGGCTGAGACAAGCCTGTTGTCATCCACAGGCAGTGCGTGGGGAGTTCCTTCCAATACACAAAAAGTATGTCATACAAATGAAGATTCATCCGTAGATAGTTACTTTTTTATCTTCGTTTTCTATATTTGTGTCTAACACCCTCAGATTTGTATTGAGTTTTCACAATAGGTAGAAGAGACTTCATGTGTATAACGTGATATAGGATTACATGGCTTAACGTTTCAGCTTATCTTGACCAAATTCAAAGAGAGCTCTTGCCATGGACTACACTCCAGGCATCTGTTGAAGGTCACATGCAACGTAAAACACAACTTTGCAGATTCTGATACCTTTCGGTATGGACTTACCGAAACAAATCATCAAAAATGCAAATTCAACTTATAAAGTTGAAAAATAATGTGATGAAAAAACCCGCACGAATCGGAGTTCAAACGATTCACTAATTTTCCCCTAGCGCTTGGGGGAAAAGTGGTTTCAACAGCTGGGCTGGGCTGGGCTGCGCTCATAGCACATGCGCAGTGAAATAGTTTCTCGCAGCTTGGAAGCGGGTTGTCTGGTGAATACTCGGTGAAGGCTTTGGTGTGAGCTATTTTCTAATGTTTTGTTGATATTTCACAGGTGCGAGCTTCTTATATGTTATTACAGTAGATTACCGATTTAACTGTTTATATAATTTCATTTGTCTATTTCACCACACATTCTTACCGAGTCACTTTCTCAGTTCGATACTTAGAGGCAATGTCATTATTTAGCGTTGACAGAATTTCTAACTGTGATATAGATATGTCGTTGTCACAGACTCAATGTCTGTTTTATTGACACCTATGTGTATGCCTGCCTGTCTGCTAATGACAATATTCAATACACAACTTCGATCACTGACCACATGCAATTTGAACTTAACACCTATCAAGCTATACACCATAAACAAAATGCATTGATTTATGGCCCAAGTTCGGTCTCTGTCACATTATGTAATTACACAGACAAGCAGGTGTGATACTTGTTCACATGACATGTTATGATGTCTGTTGATTACAAAATGTTATACACAAAAAATGAGCATGTATTTACAAAACCCAACATCTCTATGTATACACACACAATGAGCCGTGAGGGCATCTGCAAATGAACCAGCTGTTACACTTGAGTGCACACCCACCCACTCTGGGTTCGGTATCCCGGCTGCTTCGTTTCTAGGGAAGTAAACCCAAGTACAAAATATTGCACTTTTGATTTGCCATTGTACGCTTATAATGTCGTTTCATATATGTTTTTTCATAATCAGCGATGTATATTATATGTCATGAATAAGTGATAATTGTGTTTTAATTATGTTTGGTTGCATGTGACCTTTAATGTTACTAGCATTGGCAAAATATGTGTTCCCTTTCTTTGTTTACATTATTTTAAAGTTTAATCTTTATTTCAAATTTGCATTTTGGCTATATGTTCTTGAATTGTGTCAAGTGCTTTCTAGGCTGTGTGACTGCCATGGTTTATTATCGGGAAGTAGGAAAGTATAATACTTTATGGATAACAACTTCTTTATTTGTTATGATGCGACGTTTCGGTATAGCTTCTTATACTCAAGCAAGAGTAAAGTAATAAAGCACAGAACCAACTTATATACATGTAACAGGGATTAAGTAAGACAACATGAGAGTGCTTCAAAGGGATTAACAACAACGACAATGGGATAGGTAATAATACCATAACAATTGGAGGAGGCCAATGTTGAGGAGGCAGAACAAGGTATACATAGCAGATGGGGTAGGTAATAATACAATATAATGGGAGGAGACCAATGTTGAGGAGGCACAACAAGGTATACATAGCAGATGGGGTAGGTAATGATACCATAACAATGGGAGGAGGCCAATGTTGAGGAGGCAGAACAAGGTATACATAGCAGATGGGGTAATGATACAATAACAATCGGAGGAAGCCAATGTTAAGGAGGCAGAACAAGGTATACATAGCAGATGGGGTAATGATACAATATAATGGAAAGAAGCCAATGTTGAGGAGGCAGAACAAGGTATTCATAGCAGATGGGGTAATGATACAATAACAATGGAAGGAAGCCAATGTTGAGGAGGCAGAACAAGGTATACATAGCAGATGGGGTAATGATACAATATAATGGAAAGAAGCCAATGTTGAGGAGGCAGAACAAGGTATACATAGCAGATGGGGTAATGATACAATAACATTGGGAGGAGGCCAATGTTGAGGAGGCAGAACAAGGTATACATAGCAGATGGGGTAATGATACAATAACAATGGGAGGAAGCCAATATTGAGGAGGCAGAACAAGGTATACATAGCAGATGGGGTAGGTAATGATACAATAACAATGGGAGGAAGCCAATATTGAGGAGGCAGAACAAGGTATACATAGAAGATGGGGTAGGTAATGATACAATATCATGGGAGGAAGCCAATGTTGAGGAGGCAGAACAAGGTATACATAGCAGATGGGGTAATGATACAATAACAATAGGACGAAACCAATGTTGAGGAGGCAGAACAAGGTATACATAGCAGATGGGGTAGGTAATGTACAATAACAATGGGAGGAAGCCAGTTTTGAGGAGGCAGAACAAGGTATACATAGCAGATGGGTTAATGATACAATATATTAGAAAGAAGCCAATGTTGAGGAGGCAGAACCAGGTATACAAAGCAGATGGGGTAGGTAATGATACAATATAATGGAAAGAAGCCAATATTGAGGAGGCGTAACAAGGTATACATGGAAGATGGGGTAATGTTACAATAACAATGGGAGGAAGCCAATGTTGAGGAGGCAGAAGAAGGTATACATAGCAGATGGGGTAATGATACAATAACAATGGGAGGAAGCCAATGTTAAGAAGGCAGAACAAGGTATACATAGCAGATGGGGTAGGTAATGATACAATAAGAATGGGAGGAAGCCAATATTGAGGAGGCAGAACAAGGTATACATAGCAGATGGGGTAGGTAATGATACAATAGAATGGAAGGAAGCCAATGTTGAGGAGGCAGAACAAGGTATACATAGCAGATGGGGTAATGATACAATAACAATGGGAGGAAGCCAATATTGAGGAGGCATAACAAGGTATACATAGCAGATGGGGTAATAATACAATAACAATGGGAGGAAGCCAATGTTGAGGAGGCAGATCAAGGTATACATAGCAGATGGGATAGGTAATAATGCAATAACAATGGGAGGAAGCCAATGTTGAGGAAGCTGAACGAGGGATACATAGCAGATGGGGTAATGATACAATAACAATGGGAGGAGCCAATGTTGTGGAGGCAGAACAAGGTATACATAGCAGATAGGGTAATGATACAATAACAATGGGAGGAGGCCAATGTTGAGGAGGCAGATCAAGGTATACATAGCAGATGGAATAGGTAATAATGCAATAGCAATGGGAGGAGGCCAATGTTGAGGAAGCCGAACGAGGTATACATAGCAGATGTGGTAGGTAATGATACAATAACAATGGGAGGAAGCCAATGTTGAGGAGGCAGAACAAGGTATACATAGCAGATGGGGTAATGATACAATAATAATGGGAGAAAGCCAATATTGAGGAGGCAGAACAAGGTATACATAGCAGATGGGGTAATGATACAATATAATGGAAAGAAGCCAATGTTGAGGAGGCAGAACAAGGTATACATAGCACATGGGGTAGGTAATGATACAATAACAATGGGAGGAAGCCATTGTTGAGGAGGCAGAACAAGGTATACATAGCAGATGGGGTAGGTAATGATACAATAACAATGGGAGGAAGCCAATATTGAGGAGACATAACAAGGTATACATAGCAGATGGGGTAATAATACAATAACAATGGGAGGAAGCCAATGTTGAGGAGGCAGATCAAGGTATACATAGCAGATGGGATAGGTAATAATGCAATAACAATGGGAGGAAGCCAATGTTGAGGAAGCCGAACGAGGGATACATAGCAGATGGGGTATGTAATGACACAATAACAATGGAAGGAAGCCAATGTTGAGGAGGCAGAACAAGGTATACATAGCAGATGGGGTAATGATACAATATAATGGAAAGAAACCAATGTTGAGGAGGCAGAACAAGGTTTACATAGCAGATGGGGTAATGATACAATAACAATGGGAGGAAGCCAATGTTGAGGAGGCAGATCAAGGTATACATAGCAGATGGGATAGGTAATAATGCAATAACAATGGGAGGAAGCCAATGTTGAGGAAGCCGATGTTGAACGAGGAATACATAGCAGATGGGGTATGTAATGACACAATAACAATGGGAGGAAGCCAATGTTGAGGAGGGAGAACAAGGTATACATAGCAGATGGGGTAATGATACAATATAATGGAAAGAAGCCAATGTTGAGGAGGCAGAACAAGGTATTCATAGCAGATGGGGTAGGTAATGATACAATAACAATGGGAGGAAGCCATTGTTGATGGGGTAGGTAATGATACAATAACAATGGGAGGAAGCCATTGTTGAGGAGACAGAACAAGGTATACATAGCAGATGGGGTAATGATACAATATATTAGAAAGAAGCCAATGTTGAGGAGGCAGAACAAGGTATACATTGCAGATGGGATAGGTAATAATACAATAACAATGGGAGCATGCCAATGTTGAGGAGGCAGAACAAGGTATACATAGCAGATGGGGTAATGATACTATATAATTGGAGGAAGCCAATGTATAGGAAGCTGAACAAGGTATACATAGCACATGGGGTAGGTAATGATACAATATAATGGGAGGAGGCCAATGGTGAGGAGGCAGAACAAGGTATACATAGCAGATGGGGTAGGTAATGATGCAATAACAATGGGAGGAAACCAATGTTGAGGAGGCAGAACAAGGTATACATAGCAGATGGGGTAATGATACAATATAATGGAAAGAAGCCAATGTTGAGGAGGCAGAACAAGGTATTCATAGCAGATGGGGTAGGTAATGATACAATATCAATGGGAGGAAGCCATTGTTGATGGGGTAGGTAATGATACAATAACAATGGGAGGAAGCCATTGTTGAGACAGAACAAGGTATACATAGCAGATGGGGTAA